TGGGACGCGGGGTTTTGGGTTTGTTTTATTTTTAGAAACAGGGCTTTTTTTTTTTTTTGGGGGGGGGAGAGTTCACGTGGATTTTTGTTTTCCCGCGGCAGCTCCCCGTGAGCCCGTGGTTCTGTCAGAAACACTTGGTGACTCGTATGGATGTCGTATGTAAGTCACTGAGGAAAAATAACTTCGTTTACAGAATCAGTTGTGACTTTTAGACTCTTCCATTGCAGCTCGAGCAGCCTTATACATGAAATACGCTCCTTTTTTTTGTTTTTTTGGTTTTTTTTTTTTTTTCGCTAATGCGGTGGATGCAAAGTTAGCATGTATGGTACGCCCAGACCTCATTACCAGTGGGGAAGTGGCATCCCGCGAGGAGGTATTGCCAGCACTCCTTTTTAAGAGCTGTCTCCAGCAGAAACCCTGCCAGCTCCAGGGAAACTTGCTGAACCAACTTCAGGTTTTCTCTACGCACACTTTTTCTTCATGTTGAGGATGGGATAATATGGCAAGCCGTGGCTTATTTACGAGCTTTAGCTAAACCCTGTATCCCAAACCTTATTATTTTTAGCAATATTGCAATATATTTCTATGAAGCTGCAAATTTTCTGCAAGATGTTTCACTGCTGCAAACAATTTTACACTATCTTTTACTGTAATAAAGTGCCTTATGATGGACCATATATCTCTGCATGGTAGAAATTTAACAGCATTGTTTACTGATAGAAGGGATTATTTTGAACTATGTAAGTAAAGGCCTCCATCAGTTAGAAAAGAATCTGTGATGTGTATTCTCCCATCTTTTGGGAGGCATGTTAGAGCTTTTTCAGTATTTGCTCCTATTTTCTATCTTTGCCTTAAGGAATTACTAGTTAGTTAGTCTAGAACTTACTGTTAACAGAACCTGTTGTTCTGCAAGTTTGCTAATCTGTAATAAATAGGTGCACTGAAACTCCTGTATGTTCACCAGAACAATGTGAAAAAAGTAATGCTGAAATGCAGTGGGAGGCTGCAGGAGAACATGGCTGTACCGTGATTTATCAGTCAGACTTCTTTTTACTTGTAGAAGGACTTTTTTAAAAGACAAACTGTAGTTTTCTTATCAAAAAAATAAAGACTTTACAAAAATGCTGACATAATGAATATTCTTGTGTTACAGAAACAAAGATGACATTCAATGTATCCATAATCAACTTAAGTGAAAAGCAGGTTGGTAAGGACAGGCATTCTTGCATCTCCTCAAAAGCAGTTACAGTCATTGAGAAGTGTTGGCCCCTCCAGTACACAAATTCTATGAAATTGACTTCTAATTGCCCCAGTTAAAGGCAATCTGTGTGGCAGAATTTCACTTACCTGTTTTTAACCCCACACCCCAAAATGTTGCTAAGCAACTTGGAAAAGAAGTTTTGTTCAGCAGATAATCTTTTATTTCAATCAAACATACAGTAGGGGAAACAAGATGTTTAACAATCTTTGATTTCAAGGTAATCCAAAGTTCTGTAAACAGTTGAAGTGTGAGTCACACTTTTGAAATTCTACTTCTTACACTGTTAAGAAGTTAAGTGCAAACATTGGAAGTATCTTATAACTTCATTTTAAAAAGCTTCAAATCACCAATGCAAAAGAAGCATTTCTTTTACCTTGTGGGCTCCTAGGCTATCAGTCTGTGAGCACAGTACTGAAAGAACTGGGGAAGCTGTAGCAATTCATAATGGAAAAGATTCTTTTCAGTAAGTATGTGAAGAAAATGCCTCTAGAGGATTGTTTCAGATGAGAGATTTTTTTTTTTTTTTTTAACCCTTGTAACACTGGGAAGGAAAATAATGCCCTAAAAAGTGCTGAATGGCTGTGCTCCTTAAGTTATTTTAACTGTAATGCATCCAGTCCGATACACAAGGTGATTAAAATGACACCTGTTAAGCCTTCTATTTGGTCATCTCCCATTATTCCACGTACAGAGATACACATCTTAGGACTGAAATTTGCTGAAATCTGTGAGCTGTGGGGAGCTACTTATTGTAGCCCATTAAGAAACACTGAGGAAAAGAGCAGCATCAAGTGGTTGGGATACTCAGTCCAGTCATTCCAGGGAAGGATGCTCATCTGAAGGAGAAAACTTCCACCAACTACAGCTGGGGGACACTCAGTTGAAGAAAAAACTTTTTATTTTTTATTTTTTCTTCCCCACAGTTCTGGTTCTGCCAGAATTAGGACGATCATCATAATTTCAGGATTGTCTTTACATGAGTGAAATAGTTGGTAGATTTTAAAAAAAGAATAAAATTTTCACTTGTTTGGCTTTGAGAAATATAATAAACTGGTCTAATTATGAAATTTATATATTTTTCTTAGGGCTGTTGCTCCCTAAAGGTTTTAAGAGCTGGTGCAGCCTAAATAGAGCTAGTCAGAAATTTTGAGGAGGAAAAAAAAAAAATAATCTTAATGAGGAAACCAATCAACTCTTAAAAAAAATTCAGCTGTTGAAATGGGGAATTTTAAAAAAGAGAGTTTAATGAAAATAACCTGTTTTTTCCCCAAAGATAGATGATTTTGAAACATTCCGCTTTCGGGGCAAGATGTTTTAATGACAATTGATTTTTTTTTTTTTTTTTCCACACACCTGGCTTCTAGGGGAAAAAAAACCCAAACAATTGACTTCTCATTTGGATCTAGGATGAGTTGTCAAAACGTCAGGTGCTGTTGTGAGACGGTAAAATTATTGTTGTGTCAGTTCTACCTGCAAACAGGCACGCTGCTCCCTCTTCTTCCTGCTTGGGTGCCCGTGAGCCCAAGTGTCATACATACCTCCCTCATTTTTCCTCATTGCTGTAAAGCAGTAAGCCCACAGATGTGAAGCTAACAGTGCAGATGTCATCGCGAAGATTCAAAATGTATTTATTTACGTGTATGAATTTAGTCTCGTCGACTGTGTGGTCACCGAAGCGTCAGAGGAGTCTGTACAAAGCACAGGCTTCGTTAGCTTTGGTGTGATTTCATGCATTGGCCACATCTCTACCCAAATGAATGATGGACCATACGTTTTCTGACTGCCTTTACCTCTTTTGGATCTTCTTTGTCTGTAATTATACCAAACCTGGTGAATCATTTCTTTGAAAGGTCGTGTAGTCAAAGTGTAGAGAAGAGGATTCAAAGCGCTATTTATTGGCAGTATAAAAATCACCACCCAAGAAGTTATGGTACCTTAGGGAGGGAAAAAAGAAAGGAAGCTATAACATCCATTCCAGCATTTTTACCCGTTAATAATTACAAGCACTTGATGCCTATGCAGCACAGCTTCCTGGCGAGAGCGGTGGTCACACGCTCCCAGCCTGAGTTCATGTCACAGCAGGTACTTTTCTTTTTCCTCTCACTGTTATGCTTGCACTGCCCTCTTATCTGCCTCTGCTTCCAGGACTCCCTGCAAAACTGGACATTTTTTACTCTCCCAGCAGTTTCATTTATCCCTCTGACTTTGCTCCCTATTTGCCCTGGCACGCTTCTTATTCTGGCTGAGCCCCGTTTTCTTTTTGCCTCTGCTTTGCTCCCTGTTTCTTCTTGTGATCTCTGTTCCCCATCCTCTTCCCGGGGCTAGTAACATCCAATCCTCGTGACGTCCCTGATATCCTGTCCTCCTGCAAAGCAATATCCTCCAGTCCCTGAACCCCCTCAGAAGCTGGTTTTCTCTTCTGCCTCAGGACTTCTCCATTCTTCCCCTGCAAAGGGCACTGTATACATCCTCCTTATTTCCTTCTTGCCCTTTTGGAAGAGTTTCTGTGTTCACACCATCTTCCTTTCTGAAGGCATCCTGCTCTCCTGCCTTTATCAGAGTCTGTGTGCCTTTTCCCACCACTCCCTTCTCATCCTTACTCTTTGGGAGACAAGTCAGCTTGTTACCTGAGGGGCAGGCGGAGAAGGGACAGGATTAAAGACGTTACTGCGTGCTCCAGTTTGATTTATAAAACAATTACAGAACTGTTCCAAGCTGCACAAAAAGCTTAATTCACTCTCCTTTCCCCTCCCTTCTCTGCCTTTATGACTTTGTTGCAATATCAATGCATTCCTGTTGATGCCCATAACATTGTCTACAGTTTTGGAAACAAGCAGATGCTTAGTTCAAGAGCTGTTATGGTGTATGCCCAAAGAAAAATAAATGCTATCAAATGGGGTTTAACACTTCTGTAAACTTAGGCAACTATCTGTGAGGACACAGACAGTGGGATAAAGATGAGATAGTGGGACCAAGTGCACCCTCAGCAAGTTTGCCGACATCATCAAGCTGAGTGTTGTGATTGACACACCTGAGGGATGGGATGCCATCCAGAGGGACCTGGACAAGCTCGACAAGTGGCCCCGTGTGAACCTCATGAAGTTCAACAAGGCCAAGTGCAGAATCCTGCACCTAGGTTGGGGCAACCCCTGGTCTCAGTACAGATTGGGGGATGAAGGCATTGAGAACAGCCCTGCTGAGAGGGACTTGGGGGTACTGGTGGATGAAAAGCTCAACATGACACAGCAATGTGCCCTCACAGCCCAGAAATCCAACCACATCCTGGGCTACATCAAAAGCAGCGTGGCCAGCGGGTCAAGGAAAGTGATTCTTCCCCTCTCCTCCACTCTAACGAGACGTCACCTGGAGTATTACTGCCAGCTCTGGGACTCTCAGCACAAGAAAGACATGGAGCTTTTGGAGGTGGTCCAGAGGAGGCCACAAAAATGATCAAGAGGGATGGAATACCTCTGCTATGAGGACAGGCTGAGAGAGTTGGGGTTGTTCAGCCTGGAGAAGAGAAGGCTACAGGGAGACCTTATTGTGGACTTTCAGTACTTAAAGGGGGCCTACAGGAAAGATGGGGACAGACTTTTTATCAGGGCCTGTTGTGATAGGACAAGGGGTAATGGCTTTAAAAGAGGGTTCAGACTATATATAAGGAAGAAATTTTTTATTATGAGGATGGTGAGACATTGGCACAAGTTGCCCAGAGAGGTGGTAGATGCCCATCCCTGGAAACATTCCAGGTCAGGTTGGATGGGGCTCTGAGCAACCTAATCTAGTTGAAGATGTCCCTGCTCGTTGCATTGTTGGACTACGTGACCTTTAAAGGTCCCTTTCAACCCAAACTATTCTATGATTCTATAACGTCTTTAATTTTATGAAATGAGTAATTACTGTTTAAGATGTTTTATCTAATGCAGAGCATTAATTTGCTGAATAAAAAATAAGGTGCAATTTTTAATCTTTTAGGTTAGGGTGTTTTCACATGCTGATATATTCAGAGCATAAAGAAGATAAGCACAACTTTATCCAACTTAAGGTATTGAACTACAAGTATCAGTTTTAAAAAAAGTTATTTCAGGGTAAGAATTAAATTAAAGACATTAAATCAAGACAGGAAACATTGTATTGTCCTGAGCCACATTTAGGCAACAGAACCAGCAAAAGCCAAGATGAGAAAAGCCAATGCTGTTCAGCCTTGGTTTTCAAATACATTTTGTACATTTTATAGATATTCTATGGAGGCAGACTTCAACAATTTTAATTTTGTTGGGGTTTTTTTGGCTGACTCAAAGGTGAATCAGCCTCTTTGATGATTATAGTAATAGAGTTCAATGCAGCAGTAAACTATATAGTTCATTATATTGTGTGTACATATATACAGACATATAACATAAAATTCATTATAGTAATATAGTTCAATGTACTCAACTCTTTCTTCTAAAGAAGAAACAACACTCTTCATACAGACACAGTTGAAACTGCCTCACAAAAGAAAGGACATACCTGGTATTTCTACTTCAAGTAGAGAAAGGAGTTTCAAAATAAAAATGGGTATCCAACATAGTGCATCAGTAAACACAATGAAGAAAAATCGTTTAGCAAGGATCATCTCTTTTTTAATATGATTCCGAATTTCAGTAGCCGTGATAGCTGTTTGGTGAACACTGTAGAACATACTCCCATAGGAAAACACAATGATGATAAAGGCTGCCAAGTTTACACCTGTTTAAGAAGTTAAAATAAGTTGTAATTTAAGAACATAATGGCATTTTCACATCACCTATTTGCAGGCTGAGTGGTAAAGAAAAATGTTTAATCTAAGCTGCTGGTCCCATAGAATTAAGTGGCCAGAAGATCTGAGTCTGTATTCAGCTGTACACTGAATTTTCACCTCTACTCGGGTATTTATTTCATTCATCATCAGCTGATAAATGGCTGCCATCTGATCCAAACTACATAGTTCTCTCCTCTGGCCTTATCATTGGTCTACTTTCCTGAAAAAGTCTATTCTTTCAGGAACTTAATGGTCATTAATTTCTTTCTACATTCTCAGCCCGTCATGCATCTAATATAGTGAAATATTCAGGCTGGAAAAAGTCTTTAAGTTCTTACTGGAGCATCTAAATATGAGGTGTGAACATCACAGCAAAGCTATCTTATTGGTCTGAAAATTAAGTTCATTTGCAGCTCTAATCATATATAAAGAAGAAATGCAACTTACCTAAAAAAATCACAACAGAATAAATCTGACTTCCTGAACTTTCTGATTGTTCTGAGTGAAGAGGAAAACAGACGCCGTTGGTGCCATAGTAGTTCCTGAAAAATTCCTTGTTGCTCAGGGGGATAAAAGCAACAGCAAACCCAATTATCCAGATAAGAACCAAAATGGAAATTGTCCTGCATTTTCTGGGCTTCAAACACCTAAAAGGATAAACTATGCAGATGTATTTTTCCAAAGTCAGGTAAGTCAACAGTAAGACCGACACCTCTGTAGACAGAATAGCCAGCGATCCCACCAATTGACAATGAATACTGTCCATCCACAACTGAGCGTGCTTGTTGTATTCTCCGCGATATTTAAGATCAAAAGCTCCAATCACAAATAAATATATTCCCATCAGACAGTCAGCACCTGTGGGCACAGTGCTTAACATCATTATTCACACATCTGAATTTCCCATTCTCTGTGTATATGTATATTGGAAAACAGACATACACACGTATATATGAATACATATTTATAAGTCAGCTAAAGTATAGATATAAAATCAACATTATAGTTTGAATGTTATTGCAAATTACAATTAAGGCAGTATAATTCTGTTTCATTCCTCCTTTTTTTTTTTTTTTTTGAATTTTTATTTGGACTGATAGCCTATGTTTCATACTTGTTTCCAACGCGATTTCTTGAAGCTCAGATAAAATTGGTTTGCAAACAGAAAAAGATATGGCTTCATTTATAGAAATATTCTTGCAACTGTTTTTTTGGGGTTTTTTTGTTTGTTTGTTTGTTTGTTTGTTTTTATTAGGTCTTATTCCTTTTGATATTGACATTTAGCTGAAGATAATATGCTCTGTGTAGGGCATCTCTGCTGGATCCAAAGTTTAGTTTAGGTTTGTCCACCTTATGCTAATTCAAAACTGGTGTGCATAGTTGTCTGAGGCTGGTACGGGAAGAGGAACTGTCAACATAGGGCTGAAGGCTTCTCAGATACTTCGGCTAGAAGTTCTGCATGGTACTCAGACTGTTCCCATGGAAACAACAAAGTTTCAAAATCACTGACATGCTGTGGTTAGAAATGTTGCCATCATTTTATACACTGTTGGCAATTATCCTTCAAAATGCAACTAATATAACTTGTGAAGTACTTGTAGATTCCCCTGTGTTGAGATAGGGTGCGTGAGATTGTAGTGGCTGCACTGCCGAATCGTTCCTCCATAAACCTGTCTTGTCTTCAGGACTAAAATAAAAACCCCCAAAACTCTAATTTTTAATATTGGGGAGCTAGGAGTGATTGCATAAGTAACCTTTTACTCGTGTGAAAAATAGAATAACTATCTTGAACACAATGTTTACATGTGCAAATTGCTATTTACTCAAAAATGCCTAGTAAAATCTAAGTTTATGGGCCTTTGAAAAATTCAGAATTTTCTTTCTCCTTGATGAAGAAAGTGTGAATTTGACACAATCCCCACAGCATTAAAATCATACGTGAAACCTTTGGAATTTATCAACTGCCTGTTGGCACAGAACAAAAGCAGCATCTAATGAGACTTCCTGATGCATAAGGTACATAGGTTTTTTTGTATCGTCTTTCTCAACAACATGAAAGTTCAGTTAATCCAGTGCTGAAAACATGTCACTATATTGTAACAACAAATATTATGTATGCTACGAGCAGACTAAAGCAATATTCTTTTACTTTACACATGGAGTACTCACAGCAGAGAGACATTATTGAGATGGCGTGAAGCTTATTCTCTGATCTGATGTAAGGCCTCATGCAGATAACAAAAATATTTCCAAAGCAGGTGATGGCAGATACAACCCAGACAAACACTCTCTGTATGATGCTAGCTAAAAGATTCTCAAGGGATGAAATCCCGTCAGTATTGGGCTTACAGCTGCGCACATGAGGGGCATATCCACAGTACTGGAATTTCTTAAAATATCTGGTTGTGAAAAAGAAAAACAGATAAGAGATGGTTCTAGTTTGGTTACCAGAATATCAAAACTCTCCAGTAGCTACTCAGAAAACATATTCTGAAAGAAGAAAAATTAATTAAAAACTGTTGAAACGCTGTCACATGCTGCTTTTCATATACTTTTGTTTTAATTATCCAATATTCTCTAAATTGCAAAATTTGCAGAGGAAGCAAATCTACTTACATGTGTGAAAGGTTTCTCAGTGGTCTGAACATTCTTCTCTGGATGTTTGCAATTTCAATGCCCTCCAAGCTGCTGTAAACAATATACTCTCAGTAAAAGGCCATAGAGACTCAGGGGTAAAAGAACAAACTTTATGAGCGTTTAATTGGGCTTCTATGATTATAGGAAACTAGAGATGAACTTTAATTGCATCTAATATGTCATCCGTTTGAAACTTGGACAGAAGAAGCTAAAGTGGAATAAAATAAATTGCAGTTAATTCTAACAAACTCGCTGTTCTTCCAAAATCACGAAGGCGGCTCTTTTAGTGCTCTCAGCAGTGCAATCGCAGATTATTATGTTGCCCTTCCAACGTATTGTTCTACTGATGTTCTTTCATCATCTCTGAGAAAATAGTAACTTGTTCCAACAGTAATATTTTACATGTCCCTTCTGTCTTTTATCTATTACCAGACAAACAAACCACTGCAGGAATTCAGTTTTCATTGTGTCAGGAGCAGCAGGAAGCTGGGACATGGAACATGGAATAGAAGGGAAAACGCTGGCTTTCTTGTGACACATAGATGGGATTTTTATTTTGTTGGGTTTTTTTTAATATATATTGAAAATGGCACTATTATTTCCCCTGCAGTGCTAGATCAGTAAAGTGTAACTGTGCAAGTAGTTCTTTTAGAACTTCGGTTTCTGTACTCTTCCAGTCCATCCTATCCGCTGGTTAGACGTACAACCAGTCAGAGGTCTTCGGTTCTCCCTGCGGGGACCCTTACTTGAATTCATTATTCAATGCTTGGAATGAAATATTCCTGTGAGTTCTGAGCACATTTAGGCAAAAGTGGAGAAAAGTACCAGTCTTACTGGTTAGTTGCTGTGGGCTGATGGGCAGTTTTGCTAGGAGACAAGAAAAATGAATCTTATGGTGTGCTTTCCCCAGCTGTTCTTACTATTTCAAACTAGCAAAGAGGCAACTGGTGTTCTACAAACTACTGAAATATAGCTTCCTATAGATCGATCTCAAGATTTAACAAATTTCTTAACTTAAAAACATGAAAGGTCATGGTCATTGAATTGCATGAGTTCTTTGGTGTTAAATAATGGATGAAGTAGTCTGTACAGTCATAGGCTGTAGTCTGACTGCCAGGGAGGCAATTAATTATTCTTTTCTGTGCTCAGCTGCTTATTTCCACAAAACTTGTACAGATTTAGTATTTTCAGGTAATTATCTATTTACCAAATTTAGTTGAATTTGGCCACTGGATTCCAAATCCAGTGAGGAAATTGGACTGATCAACAGAAGCTTGTGCATTACTGGCTACAGCTCAGCGGTCAAATCATAAACTGCATTACACTCTCATCCAAGGAAACATCTCTTTTTTGATCCCCACAACCATTTTTATTAGAGCCTGTAGCAATAGGATAAGGGGTAATGGCTTTAAACTAAAAGAGGGCAGATTTAAACTAGATATAAGGAAGAAATGTTTCACAATGAGCGTGGTGAAACACTGGCAGATGTAAGATGGTAGATGCATCATTGTTGTAAACTTTCCAGGTCAGGTTGGACGGGGCTCTGTGCAACCTGATCTAGTTGAAGATGTCCCTGCTCATTGCAGGGGGGTTATACTAGATGACCTTTAAAGGTCCCTTCCAACCCAAACTATTCTGTGACTCTGTGATTTTGAAATGATGACTGAGAGGAACCAATGCCGTGCTCTACCGAGCTGGTTATCGCAGACGTGCAGTGGCCTGTGAAGACGTACTTAAATTTACCACAGGATAATTTCAGTTTGGCAAGATTGTCACTGCGCTATCACAGTTTTAAGAGCACCTCTGCTGGCAGAATTCAGGTTGGAGTTCCTGTGTTAGTAGACCCACAAAATTTTCCCCCTAAACTCTTAAAAAAGATCTGTAAAAGTCCCACCTCCCTCTGACACGGTGGATGAATTGTACTTGGTTTGTATTGTTCTTTTCTGGTGTTAACAGTAGATTCTGTAAGAATGGAAATATGTCCCCAAACTTGTACATATACCAAATTCATGTCTTTATATATCCTAAGGGTACCTACTCGTGGTGTTAATAACCCCAACTGGACCTTGCATGACCCTTAGGCCCTGTGAAGAAATTGTGCAAGGTCAAATGAGGGTTGCATTAATCTTGTTCTGTAATAGCAGAAAAGACAATGTTCTTCTCCAAGCTGAATTTATGATCTCTTTTTGTTGGAAAAATTTCCATTATGAAATTGGTTTTTTCAGGAAGGAAAATTTGAGTATTGATATCTACCAGGCTCAAATTGTTGAGGATCATCAACATAACCAGGAACTATTTCAAAGGTAATTTCTCATAAAACATATTCTGGATCATGTCCTTCTGAAGGAGATGTGCATAATCACAAAGAAAATATAGCAAAAATATAAAAACTTGATACTTACAGGGATTTAAGTCTAATTAGAAAATCAAACTGGTCTATTTGTATTTTCTTGATTGGGTTGTAAGATAGGTTCCTGTAAATACATAATAGACATAAATAACTTTGTACATCTTCCTTGCAGCTTGTTCTAAAAATAAAGTCAAACTACATAACTCATTTGCTTTTCCAGTCCTGTAGGAAGGACTTCTACAATTGGCAGTTCCAACTGCAAATGTGAACATTCATTTAGTGTTATTCAGCTTGCTAAGCCAGTGGAAAGAGTAGTCAGATGCTTCACAGGCATGCTATTGCCACACACACACACACCCGCCTCCCCCAACCTGATGCTTAAATATTTTGACTGTAGAAATATTTAGTTATTAAACTTCCCAGACTTGTCTTTCAGGTAAAAGAACCTAGCTGAACTGCATGCATTTAGAAATAAATAACAATTGATTTTGCTATTTGCTAAAAACTATTTTTTTTTTTAATCATTCGTGTGAGTTCAAGAAAGGACAGAGGCAGTGGAATGTAAGAATAGATGTCAGTGTTAGATGCTTTCACGCTGTGCAAGAGTGTTTCTAGGTCCATCCCCTTTTTCTTCTCCCTATAACTTTTCCTCATGATTTCATTTTGTTATTGTAACTAAAATGCACAAACTTAATAAATGCAGCTGTACGCACTTGGTTGCCCCAGTGTATTGTGATGGATCCCAAGGATGTTGGAAAAGCACAAAAATAGGTTATTCCACACACTACCTCCTCTCCTCCAGAGAGGTCTTCAATTGTGTGACTGGTGCCTCTTTCAGATTATGCGAGAAAGATTGGGACTTTCCAGCAGCAGCATTTGAGAATTTGCCCATATACGTGTCATGGGAAAAAGAGAGAAAGTCCTTCTGGTTTTATAATACCTTATACTTTTTTGGAACTCCTTCACAGGAAAAAAGCAGTTTCAAGCAAGGCATCTGTATGATGCTCTTATGCGTTTATTATCTATTTTTAGAGCCAAATCCTGATATCACACTAAACATTCCCATCAAATTATTAATTGCTCATTACATAGGTAGCATAGCTCATTTTGTATATACTAACATGATCTAGAAAAAGGTAGAATTTGAACTTGGTATCTTTTGGGACATGACAATACACATCTTTTACAGAACTATTCTGGGAAAATGTTATATAGAATTACTTTTGGGAAAAGTATTTTTTTAGGCAGATCTTAAATGACGCATACAAACAAAGGTGCTCTTTTCTTCCCCAGCACTCATGACTGGAAGCATCATATCAAATGAGTAACATACAGTTATACATAATAATAATCAAGAATCCTTACAGTTGTGAAAGCTCCTTTAGATCCTTAAATATATACGGAGGAAGTGATTCAATCTTGTTGCTAGCCAAATCTCTGCAGAAAGAGCCACAGGTAGGATACAATAAGTTCTTACTAGGCTCAGTAATTTTACCAAACCGTTTTGCAATTTCAAGACATGGGGTTTCATTCTGTTTGCCAAATATTATTTATTATGTAGGCTATCCGAAATTGACTATGAAAGAATGCTGTTAAAGCAAGGTGGGAAGCTAGATCCACCAGATTTCTCTTTGTCTAGTTAGTTCAGATATGCCATTAGAAGCATAATTTATTATTATTGTATTTAGATCAAAAAGAAAGTAAAATACCCTTAACTTGAGCTGTAGGAGCTTGGAAATAAATTAAATTTATTGTTTCATCATGGGAACTTTTTCACATGGGCTAGCCAGCACTACATCTTTCCCTTAGTTTTTCGCTCTACCTCTCTGCTTACTTTCACTAAACACAGATTTTAATAACTGTGGACAGAGGAGTAAAAGTCTCAGCCTGACTGAAACAGGCAAACCAGTCTAAAAGACACTGTGGTGATGTAAGATTAATTAGTATGATTCTATTCGGGGAACATAAGGATCTTGTGAGCAAACCCCCCAATATTATCGATACTCATGGAATATGCATTTTATTGACTATTTATTCCCTGTTAAATATACAGAAAATACCCCTGAGTATGGGTGCTATTGCCAGAGCATGTTATATGAAACAGAATTTATGATAAATGAGGTTTGCAGTATAAATTATAAAACTTTGTGACTTGTTATACAAGTAAGAGAAGAAATCAACTCACAATTCATCTAACATCTGGAGAGAAGAAAAGCTGTTTTCATTTAAAGAGCTGATTTTATTCCGTCTCATCACCCTGAAAGAATAAAACAAACGTGTTGCTGCTTCTTGACATCTCTTTGGTTTCAGAGAAAATTTTTTATAAACTTTTAAAATTCTCTCTTCTCTTCATCTTCATATATTTGCCTAATTCAGTTAATAACCTAATCAGATGTAGAAGCTTACCATTTTACCAGTCGATAAGTAATTTTTATTCCTTATGCTCGTACGTGTGTGTGTATACATATATATACGCATGCCCACAGGAGGCCAGTATACATTGGCTGAGGACAGGAGGAAGATTAAGTGGGCTGGAAGGCTCGTGACCTAACCGCTTCTCATACACAGGCACATGGTTGTGCAACTTTTCCTTCACCCATATTTCATCTGCCACTGAGCTTCCTCCTTAAACGGACAACCTGGATTTTAAAAGCAAAGAGAGAGCCAAGAATATGGCTACTGCACCAGAGTTAAAAATGGAAAGTGATAGGTACTGTGGAGCCTACTAATCTATCAAAAGGTTGAAGGGATTTTCTGAAGATGATTGTATCATCTTTGTTGTAATCACTCAAACTTTGGGGAAAATTTTAAAACTGATGAGCCAGCCAACCCATCAGCCAATCAAACTCAATGAAGAAATTTGCGTATTTTGTATGTTTTCTGCTTTTTATTATGAGATTTTTGCCTCCCAGTAAAAAGTTAGAATGAAGCTGTCTAAATCTTAATATCAGTCAAAATCACTTCAGTGAAGTTTAGTCGCATACATCAATGCTGAACTTTGCTATAAATGTAAGCAGTGGTTATTCTTTATGGCGCTCATTTAAAACCGAACATTGTAATTTAATCTCCTTGAGATCTAAATAACCATGATACTGAGGAAACTTTAATATTAGCTGTAACAAATCACTTGACTGTTGAGCAGAAGCATATCTCACTCCAGCTGGGTAGCGTATCCTATTACTTACAGTACAGTTAGGGTGCTGCAGGAGATGAAAGTGACATTTCTTACATGATGGATATGGTTGCCTTCAAGGTCTCTGGGATATAAAAACACAACATCAATCACTGAAAATAAATTCAGGCAGTTATTCTAAGGTAATTAAAGAAAAATACTACCAGAACTTCACGACTGCACAAAAGAGAGTGGGAACCAGACATGTAACATTTCTGCACACCTAATTGATGCCTTCGGGTCACCAACCCTGCAGTGACCCAGCAGGAACTCTGCAAGATCCAGCACCCCATTAGAAAAAGTGGTGTGAAAACACTATACAAAACCAACAAAATAATATTTTTCTAGTGAAATAAGGTAGACTCACAGCCAGTTTAGTCTTGGCATATACTGGCACAGAGGCTTATCAGGCAAACGAGCAAGAGAATTATTCATCATCTCTCTGGAAAAAAGAATAGTATAGTTAGCTATATTTGCCAAAAATTACATCACAGAAAAAAGATTATGTCTCCTATATTTGTACTTTTTAAAAAAAGGTAGTCAAAGCTTTATTTGTTTCTCATAGTCTTGGAGGTAGTAGTATTTTCTTAAACTTCCACATATTTTCTCTGTGGCATTCTGCAGAGCATTATTTTATCCTTAACTAGTGAATTACCAGTTAAAGGAAAGTTGTTCACTTCACTGCTTTTTCAATAAAACACAGAAGTCAATACCAATATTTTGACTCTTCTGTCATAACATGTAACCTCTATTCGTGATGGAGGAAGGGGGAGATGGAAGGAGGTTTCCCTCCAAGCCGCAGAGATAGGGGGTCCCTGGTCTTTGGGGCTGGGGAGGGCAGTGGCAGGTTAGAGGCAGGGTCTCGGGGAGGGAGGCTGGGCTGCTGCCAGGGGCAGGAGCTTTCGCACCCCTGCCTCTGGCACCGCGGCTCCGGAGGACAACTGTCATCCATTGCTGCAGCTGCCACGTCCTTGCCCTCTCAGTGTCGCTGTCATTTTACTATTTTTCCCACCCATCTCCCTATACTTTTCCAGACACTGCGTGTCCACTGCTGCCAAATGGGCCTACTTCAGCACATCACGCCTGGGGGTAAGAAAAAGCTGTGGGTGTACTGCTGGCACGCTGTGGTGAGCAAGCACAGTCGGTATAAAAAGGTTTTTATATATATCTGCCCTTTCAGGTCTGTTCTTTTTAATAACTGTTGTGGTTTAGGCTGGGCTGACCACTAAATGAATGACAGATGTTTTTTATTAATCCCTCTCCCTTCCCAGAAGGGAAGGGGAGGGAGAATAAGGGAGAGACTTATGAGTTGGGAAAAAAAAAAACGTAAAACAGCTTTGATGAAATATTAGCAATAAAAAGAAAAAAAATCATAATATTAATAAGAAAATAATGAAATACATACAAAGATACACAAACCCAATATCGAGCCCCTGGGATGACAATCATGTCACCTGCAAGCACTGGGACTGGACTCAGCAACAGGTGGGAACTGGATTCAAGAACTCAATTCAGGAACACACAGATGGGGATCAAAGGCAGAGGAACGGATAGAGTCCTCCTCGGATGTCGGCCATTGAAGAAAGAGGGCTGACCCTTTGATCCCTCAGCTTTTACACTGAGCATGAGGCAGATGGGATGGAATACCCTGTGGGTCAGTTTTGGGTCACCTGTCCTGTCTGCTCCTCCCCACAGGTGGGACCCCACTGTGCTTTTCCACTTCTGACCCTCCAATGGGGCAAATAACAACATTATCTGATCTTGGCTGTTACAGCAATAAGTATAAGCAGGAGCTGCTCTGCATACCATGCCTTGGTATTAACTTATCACTGCCAGAAGCAGACATTGTCTGAAAAACATACCGTTAATTTCAGAGAGTGCAGTCAGTTGAATGGTAAAATTACAGAAAAGAACACTGGTTTTGTTCTACCTCAAACCAGGACACTCTTGATTTTTATTCCATACTTACAGGAGAATAAGTGATTTGAGTCCATAAAATGTTAATGGAGAGATCCGATTTAGCCTGTTATTTTCAATTATCCTATAAATTACAGGAAAGCATATATCAGACTGATAATTGACTGCAGTCTTAAATTGAACAGATGCTAAAAAAAAAAATAACATAATTGAAGTGGTTTTCTCCAAATGACCATTCAAACAATGTAAAAAATTAATGCACTACTCCATAGCAGGTCAGGGTATTCATTGAATTAATTTCCTTTTGGAAGAATTTGATTTAAAATAAAATATATTTTAACTTAGAAAAAGTAGTAGTTTTCAATTTAGAAAAAAGTGTTTTCTTGCCAGTTTTTAAAATTATTTGATGAAGAATTTGAATGAACTCCCTGAAACAGCACCACATAACGGTGATCCACAGCAATCCATCAGTTCAAAATACACAGAAAAATATTAGGTGTATTATCACTTGCTTATTTTTAGTAATGTTACTGAGTCAAAACCGTATTTCATTTTCATCTGTCTGGAAAGTGATAATAAACAAATATTGCAGATTATGACAGTCATTTTGTCTGGGACATTTCAAACACTATTTATTGCCCCCCCCAATCTTTCTGCTCTTTTCTCTTTTATGGTATCTGAATTATTTAATGTATTAATTTGTAACAAGCAATTACTAGTAAACATTATTTAGTATTGTAAAAGTCATCAGTCATTGGAGCCATTAAGGCCCAAGAACTAATTTCTTCTCTCATCAAAGTCAATTGGATTTTTACCTTGCACAGTGTAACAGGAGTTCCTTTGTTATTATCTAGTATAAAGTGCAGCTACGCACAAAAAGGACAGCAATCCAAATATTTCTTTGCCTTGCTTTAATTAGTCCTTGGGAAAATAAACATACAAATAAGAAAACAACCTACAGCCATTCAAGTCTGTGTAGATCTTCAAAGACACGAGGCTTCAAACTGCTTATCTTGTTGTTGCTCAGGTATCTGAAACAAGATGAAGAAAAGATAAATGAATGGAATGATTAATTAGCATCAGATACATGAAAATGAGTTTTAAAATTTTTCCTTGATAATTTATCAGAATACTGCTAAAGTTTTTCATAATTATAATTTTTGATTAGGGCAATTTTTGATGCTTTTCTTTGAAAAATAACCCACTAAGTAAGCAAAAAAGCCCCTTATATGTGATTCCAGTCTCTCTCTCCCCCAAAAAGCCAATTTTTGGTGACAGAAGGAAATGTGCAGGCTTGTGTCTCTCGTAGAAATGCCAGAGCAGGGCAGGACTCTCTGTAGTGAGCACTTATGGAACAATTATAGTGAACATTTTGTCTTATCTACAAGAAAGCACAACAGGCTAGATATTTTCATTGTGTCGTATTTTAGGCCCTTCCCAGTTTCCTTCTGTCGAGTGAGTTGTTCCATGAATGTTCCCAGGATCCTGTTCAGTCTCTGCTAAGGACATTAGTCAAATGTAGATACCAAAATCATGGAAAAAGAAAGCCTGAGAAATGAAGGGGAGGCTGTACTAGAAATGATCTGGGACGGTAATAACAGCAGCTGTAATAACAGTTAATCAACACACTCGTGATGGAAAAAGAAGAGGTACAACATTTTTAAAAAATTTCCTTTTAAAAACATTGCGGAAAAAGTAAGCTGAACCGAATAACACAATTTATGTATCATCTCTTTCATTGAGTGTTTTGCTTAGAAGTGAGAAGCATCTTTCAAAAAGTTGCTGCAAAATAAAGAAAACAGTGTTCTTTTCATACCCATACTGGTTACTTTTATTTGCTTCTGTAAATCAAAATATGACATTAAAGAATTTTGATTCATCCAAGCTATTGCTTTTACTTTATTCTTTTTTCATTCTTTCTGACTTTATGAAGGTAACTACCATACTGTCCCCTTCTTCCATCCTGCAGATTTGGGGAGCAGTGGTGAAGTAAGAGCCCACTTCTATTTTCAAAGTGTTGTCCTATCAGATAAATTTGCGCAGATAGTTCTTAATCTATCTTTTCTTTCTCAATCCAACCATTGAGTTAAAGATTTGGACCATTTTTGCAGCTTGCTAACGATGAATCAAACAAAATTCACCTTAAGTGTGGTGAGGAACTGGAACAGGTTGCCCAGAGAAGTTGTTGAGGCCCCATCCCTGGAGGTGTTCAAGGCCAGGCTGGATGTGGCCTTGGGCAGCCTGGTCTAGTGGGAGGTGTCCCTGCCCATGGCAGGGGGGTTGGAACTCGATGATCTTCAAGGTCCTTTCCAACCTAAACCATTCTATGATTCTATGAAGAGCAAGATGTCCACAGCGACTCTCAGTGCAATTCCCATTGCTCTCTACTTCAGCATTCAAAAAGCAGTACTTACAGTTTTGTGAGGTTGTATAAACCTTTGAAAGCATGTTCAGATACAGCTCTGATTTTATTATTCTGAAGGTACCTAAAAAGATACAATGACTATTAATTCTCTAAGCATGCAAAGTTAAAGCTAGTGTATGTAACCAGTTAAAAATCTATCAATGAAACTGCATGCGTGATACTTGAGAAGGTGCTGTCAAACTTGTTACATCTTAAATTTCACAATACCTATTTCACAGCTAAAGTTGCAGAAACTGCAAAGGTGTTTTAGAAGAAATGTCCCCTGCAGCAGCACTACCAAATTCAGTCAAAGAGACACTTGGTTTGCCTGAGATGAACCACAAAGTGGTTGTGCACCACCTCCTGTTTTAGGTCCTAACGTGCAGTTCTCACCTGTGTGACCTGATCTTTATGTTTATCCAGAACCCTGCTACAAGCAAGATTTTGCATGGCAAATGTCAAATTAACATGTGGTTTTGATTTTTCTTTTTATGGTATCAGAGAATTTTTATAATTGTGGATTTTTAAGATGGTATAATTAAAATATAATGTTGCTAATTTTCTGTAAACTAAGGAATACTATTTTTTCTTCCTATTTTTCTTTATCTACTTTGATTAAATAAGTTTAAAAATACCATCAATTGCAAATGTTATATCCTTCTAAAATAATTTTAAAGAATTATAGTGCTCTTCTCTGAGAAATCTTTAAATACAAATCCTTTAAATTAAAGATACAGTCTATACAGAGTCCAGATACATTCCTGTTAAAAAGCAGTAAGAAATCTGACATTGGCTTTTACAAAATGGGTTTGTGTCAAACACCGTTCAAAAGCTTTCTGCAAATGTAGTTATCAATCAGAAATGTGTGAAATTAATATCAAGTAATCATAATTAATTAGCACTAATTAATATTGATATACATTACTGATTATTTCTTTTAATGAAAAGGTATCTTTCAATGCTTTAAGAATGGCACTGAACTTTGTGAACACAAGATGGTGCTGCAGTACAGCACAGTTTCCATAAAAGTTACAGTCCAGTCAATTTTCTAGGAACGTAAGTGCCTTGAATTTGTGATGTAAGAGACCTGCTCCAGACTTTTGCATTTAATTCTTAATTTCACTAATTCTATATAAAGCATATTTGTTAAAGGCTATGATTTTTGAACAACATAGACGCTAGACATCATAAAAGAGCACAGTATTGCGCTGCTGTAACAATTTGTCTAGTTGGGGCATTATCGGATTGGTATGAGACATAATTAGGAGTAAAACCAAGTGCCACATGAGTAGTTCCCCACAATGATGAGAAGTTTAATTTTTCAAACTTTCATTTCTTGGAGCAAATGGATTAAGTTACTTGAATTTCTCTTGGCATGCTAACTGTTTGTTGTAAACGTAACTTCCTTCAGACATGATGGAAGTTTAGCATTTTTCTGATATAAAATAGTCAATATAAAAAAATTAAATATGCAGAAACTATGGTTTTGTAAAAAGAGAGATGCCAAATCAAGCTATCTTAGCCAAATAGTTCACACAATTAGATGGGGTACGGAAGGGTAAAACAAAACAGAATTTTGAGTATAAACTGTGAGTTGCCACTTAGATGTGAAGCTCTGTGTGTGTGTGTATGTGAGAGGGAGAGAATGAATATTTAAGGCACTAAATAGATATTTAAGTTGAAATACTCCCTTACAGATTTTTAAGGTCATGGTATTTCTTGAAAACGTCAGCAGAAAGTTTCCTTAGCAGATTCCTCTGAAGAGACCTGTAGGAATGAATGCACGCAGTAAAAATACTCTCCTGGTTTCCTACAGTACTGTCACTTTTGTTTTTCAATAAGGGCAGCTGGCACACTGCTAAATAATAAACGCAACATGAAACCATCTGAATGCGCTACCTCTGTCTTAATATTTGTATCTATTTAAGCACTAACCAAAATACTTTAGCATCAAAAAATATTCTTCCATGTCCTCAGGGCAACTGACAAAATAATAGTTAAATCTAAGAGTTAAAGAGATTCAAGTATAAACTAAACCACAGTTTCATTTCAAACCTCAAATGCATATAAAGCTTATTTCCCAGTGCATGTGTCCCTATGTCCCCATCTCTATTGGGCACCAACTCAAGTATCCTGTCAGGAACAAAAATTGTCCAGGCCGGATGAGAAGAGGGTGTAGCCTGAAAGCCAGCTGAACGGACCACCTGCTTTTCCTAAAACTAGAACTGAGGCATTATTTTTGAAGTCTTTGTTGACCCATAGCCGACAGCCAGTTTAAATATATATTTGACATTCCACATCACATGTTATGAAGTATTGTGGTATTTGAACACGGACCCAACAAGCAGAACCTCAGCCACACATGAGAGCAAGCTGGAACCGAACAGAAAGGTCCATGTCCCTGCTCTATAGGGAAGATCCTCAGGTGAGGATGTGTGATGCTGTCCTCTGCTCACTACACAGAAAACGGCCTCTCAAACAGCGATGTGCAAACTAAGAGCAGTACCAACCATTCCCCGATCTCTTCCAAAAGTTTGGCTTACGCATACATATCTGTATGATGGCCCAGCCCAGACTAAATCCTTTTAAATACTGGCGCATTCAGAGACATCAGCTGAGAACTAAAAAGATTTGCTCAAGCAGATAGTTCCATGGAGTTCAAGGTTATTGACTTTATTGGCAGGAATATAGACTAGGAATATTGGCAGGATCACAGAATAATAAAAAGGTCCTAAGTATTGTGTCTTAAAAGGAAACATTTCTTTTGAAGATTTCTTTAGATTTCCTGAAACTGTTGCTAGCTCAAGTCGCTGTTACAAACATGAAATGATCACTTCACAGAGTTTTTTAGTTCCTTTTCTCTACTTTTATGCAGGCAAAATCTGTACTTAAAACATTAAAGGACTTGTCAACAGGGAGACACTACGATTTCACAAGCACCAGCTGAGCCAACCGGTCATCGTTATAAGGCTGTAGTTGTGAAAAGGTTGTAGGATCGATAGTCAAACCTGAACAGAGCAAGAGACCACTTTCCTGCTCTACTTACATTATGGTGACGTTTGAAGAGAATGACGGGACAGCACGCAATTTGGCAGCGTCGCAGAAGATCTCCAGCCCTTGGCAGGTACACTCTGCTGGCACAGCACCAGCCACTGCGTGGGAACAAGAGTGCAGTTGGGGCAAAAGGTGAGATGGGTGGTGTGATGGGACGCGGAGAAAAGAAATAGTGTGTAAAAGAACAGAGAGCACAAAGGCAGACGTACCAGACTGTGTTAAACAGGAATCGAGGCGCATGTTTTTATGTAATTGATTTAGACCTGGGAAGACCCTAACAGTAAATATAAAGTGACACAAAAAATTATGGCACCTCCTGACCTCTGTGAAAGAGCTTGTAGAAGCTCTTGAGTTTTAGGCTTGCTATACAGGAGTCTGGAATGGTAGCAGTTTTTCAGATTTTTTCTGTCTCTCTTTTAGATTATTCAGTCCTCTTATATTTACTAGAATAAGCACAACTCTGTCCCGGTGAAAATGGTATGAAAACAGGTCAGGAAGTCTTTGCTCCATTTCCAGTGTCTCTGTGCTTTAAGTTAGTGCTCATAGAAGACAGCAGAGTCAGAAAACCTGTACAAAGGGATAAATGCCCGCAGAAGTGGAGGGGGTTTGCAAGAATCATTTCATGGATGAAGAAGTGAATTTGGAGGAATGTTGCCTTCGTTGCCCTCGGAAAGATGTGTGTTTCATGGTCTTTCCAGCTGCATTAATATATTCAGATAAACATTTATATCGCCCTCATAATTGGCATATGTTTGATGCTTCTGTTACAGAAAATGAATCACTCTTAATGGAAATTAAATTAGCTTCAATGCCTTTGTCCATGTGCAACATTAATTCTGTTTTACTCTCAATGAAACTGCACTATATTTCTCTTCCTGATAAGGATATTTGCTATATATTTCTTTCTAGGAATCATCAGTAATAATCACACAAATAATATCAATAATTACTTACAGCACTCGGGTGTCTTTGTCTGAAATGCATACAGAGATTTCAGTTTATTGTATTTGTCCTTCGTATAGTGTTTATCAAATTGCAGAGACCATCCATTGTTGTCCTCTAATAAAAAAACCCACACAAATAGAAGACAGATTAGAATAGAAATAGAAGGTAGAAATACCTTCACTAAATTTAGTTGCATCAAGTTTTATCTAAATAACATGTTTTTTCCAGAACATTTCACACACCGTTAGATGACCTTATCTCTATACAGCTGCCCAATCACACGTTAGTACGGAGATGATGAGCTGCGTAGTAGGAGCAGCTTATGATACCTTCAACAACATCATCTTCTGTGACAGTTGCACCAAAAAAGTATACTCTTTCTCTTCAGAACTCTTTGTTTACATAGAATTCTAAAAACAAGAGACAACCATATTTTCCTACCTCCTTAAATGTGTGGATTTGTCACTTTGTCTAGGAGAGCTGAAATGATGGCTACGACTCCAAGTACTTTTTTCAGAGGGCTGTCTCACACTATCACAGCCTCTAATTTCTTTCCTGAAAATCTAGATGAACACTGTTTTGCAAGAGAATGGGTAATGTGGTGCAATATATTCAAGTCAGTATGTTTTAAGTTAAGCTTAATATGCATCTTAAACAGAGCATCATTCTGTATTACCAGTTTGGTCACTGTGCATAGATGTACTGACACAGAGCAGTTTATGGCCATAAAGGTGAAAATTGAAGAGCAGATCTTTCAGTTCCTTCCCACAAATAGGGATTTCCAGATACAGTGATGCTGCAAATAACTACAAGCCTGTAGTTCCAAAACAGGGCAGGAATACACAGCACCAGGAAAAAAAAAAAAAAAAAAAAAGAAAAAAAGAAGAGCTTGCCTTTAAGAGTTGTGATCCGATTTTAGTTTTATTAATTTGAGTCTGGCCTCTCTTCAGCTTTGACAACACCCACATCCTTTCAGTTTAAAGCATCTCGTGTAATGAATATGCACCAGTAGCACAAATGCTCCTTAGGATGGCGCTCACTAGCTGGTGAGTCAAAGCATCAGTGATAATTGAAAGCATTACTTTGTAATGATACCTACTGTCAAACAACATTTCTGTGAGAACCCCGAGGATGGCTCTGCTTTGCTAGGCATTACAGCCTTAGTTTCACTTTTATGATATGCTAGCAACAGTCTTTCCACCTGTAATTTCACATGGTAATTGTTTAGTTAAATACAATTCCTCACAGACATTTCCCTATAAATCTTTATATTCAACTAAGCATTACTACTATATCTATTGGCTTCAAAATAGGCAGGGAGAAAGAAAATATATTTCCTCCTTTGCAACTTTTCCCATTATGAAATGGTGTCTCATTTTTCATGTCACGTTGCAGCTCAGTTGTTTTCTCAGCCAGGGAGGGAAACTTCCCTGACAGCACCTCCCGAAGCCTGCCTATGGAGTCTCAGCAGGTGGAGCTGTTCTGAAAGACGCCTCCCTCTTCGCTGCCTAAGCTGCAAAGATGTACTATATGTGCTGATTAACAGATATTAGGATTAACTAACTAAAGGATTAACTAACTTCAGGCAAACTATCTTTTATCTAGTTATTCGTTTGTTGCGCATAAATTGAAAACATAAAGTAACCCAAAATCTCCGTCTTCAGGAATTGCCCCATTAAGAGAAAAGACAGACTTGAAAAGCACCTTCTTCACTCCAAAATTAATGTGAATTAATATGTGTCCTCCAAAAATGCCAGATTCCCACCCAGAGAAGGCATTTAGGCACATTTTTACCAACTTCCTCAAGAGCACGTCTTATGCTCTGATCCATTAGCAGTTTTGTCAGTTTAGATCATGAAGCTGGTATTCAGAAGCGGCATAATGCATTTTGGACAAAATGAAAGGTGTTGGCAAACCTGCAGAAATATTGCTCCTGCATGTTTCAAATGTTCAGCAGAAGTTCAGTTTTAGGACTACCTGTAACATGGAATCTGTAATTGATGGAGCGATAAAAACAGATCCTTTGCCAAGTGGTGAGCACCTTATAAACCTACTGCCCTGTAGTGAGGTTTCCCCTATCACTATTTTTGAGTACTTAACTGGAGCACATCCATTGAAGTTCATTTGCAAGACTGGACCCAGCAACTGGGACCTGAAGAAACTAGTGGGAACACAATATACATGGAGGAGGCAAGATTTAAGGCGAAAGGAATCTTTCATTGAGGATTTTTAAAAAGAAATTTGTAAAGATGTATTAAAAACGAGATTATTCTTGGAGTATAATCATACCAAATAAATATTTTGCAGTCAGAAATACAGTCTCAAAATATTTTTGGGCTTTCTAATTCATAATTATATTCATAGAAAGTTTTGGACATCTGCAAGTTCTGAATATCTAGTTAGAAGCCATAAATTCTAGTCCTTCTGTAAGCCAATGAACATAGTATAATTTTTCTGCATTTCCCTGCTTCTGACACTAAAGAGTGGATAGCTGAGATTTTATTCCACCTTTTAGTATTTTTAAAATGCTTTGCCATTTGACAGATCACGTACAAGAGGTGACCATCTGCCCAGTTCACATCTGCAGAGAAAAAAGATGAGCAGGGCCTCCTACACTAACGGGAACGAGGGAGCAGTTCACCAGGAAGGGGAAGTTCACCAGCATTTCCAAGGAAGTCAAGAGGCAGCTGTGTGGTTTTGGGTGGCCACAAAAGAGAAGGGGAAAAAAAGCACAGAGAAGGGAGAACACTGATTATTTTGTTCTGGAAGCATTCCAGCTGTCTGGAGTTTCTGGTCAGTTCATTTTAAATAATGGTCTTTTCTCATGACATTGATTTTCCTCCCTTCTACTAGAAATACAAAGGCATATCTGAATATAACAAAAGAAGTTATTCAAAGTTTTCTGACTTTCAAAAATGTTTGCTTTGGGCCAAGCTTTTTGCCCAAGCCTTGGACAGTCTTTATTTTATACAAAGTGTTTTGCCAAATCCCAGAAGAATGTATTGTGCAAAAAACTATATTTAGTACAACCGTTCGGTAAAGCACTCAACGCCAGAACTGTAAATCACTTTGTGATCGTTTAGAGTTTATATGGTAGGTTTGTGACCTGTTTACCTCTGTCAAGATGAGGTTCTCCAAACACTTTAAGAAATGACTGGTAATAGTACTGGTCTTGAAATCCCAAATCTTTCATTTGGGGGAGTACAGCTCAGATGAGAAATTGCTTTTTCCCAAGCCAGCTCTAAAATAGATTATGTTGGCTGCACTTCTGCAAAACCCAAAATCTGAGAAAACAAGGCATCAGCAAATCTTCCCCTACATGGGATAAGTGAAATAAGTAATTGTAAACTGGATTTATCTGACTACAGATTAATACACTGTTCCTTGCTAAAAGTTCTCAATTACCATTTCTGATGGGAAAGGAATAAGAAAGAGTATGTTAATCCTGACAAACTACAGATTTGAATAATCCTTTCAATGACAGATCCAAGAAAATATATCTTTGCTCAGTTAAAGACACATCTCTTATTTAGTACGGAGCTTACGACGAGGACATTATCTATATGACTTTCCCCTTCTCTCAGCCATGTCTTCATGGGTTACTATGCAGAGAAATGCTATGGGTTAAATGTATAAGCACTCTAAAGAGACGTTGTGTCACCCTTTGATTTTGCCTTTGCTGTTGGTGGTCATAACCCGTGGACATATTTCTTTCTACCAGTTGTTCAAATATACTTTCTCTTGCTGTAAGAAATTACTTCAGGCTTTTCACAAAGATAACATTTCGTGCAACAAGGAACGCCTGTGGCCGCCGGACAAGATGCAATTCCTTTAAAAACATTTACAGATGAAGGAATATAACTGCCCTTTTCCACAGTGTTGGGGAATGCTGATACAGTCCAATAACTTACAGTAAGACCAAAACCACACGGAGATTTTGCAAAGCGAAGTGTTGCAGTGCCTGGAGCTTTCGATGCTGGGAGTGAATTTCACAGCCCCAATTTCGATACCCAAGTGGAAAAAATGAATAACCTAAAACTGGACACCTACCAGTCAAGGCAAAGGCAATTTTCCCCACAGCAAACCTTGTGTCACTGCACATTGACTGCGTCCTGTACCTGCTGATTAATTGAAAAGTACCTTGTCTACTAATTTCTGACAATGCAATCACAGAAAACCAGACAGGAATTAAATCAATTCAAATAAGGTTTACACTTCTCTGTATGAACTAGGTTACCTGCTTACACAAATTTATTCCTGACTTTAAAACAAGCTAATTAATCCAGTGCAACTTTTTAAAAAAAATAAGCAAGCATAAATTTCCAAAAGATAACTATCTTCTCAACATTGTAGCTTTATTCCTGTGAAACACTTGCACAGGGGAGTTTTCTAGTTAATATAACAATACCTTTAGTCTATATAGATTCATCCAATTTTCTATTCTGTTTTTCTTGAAGCGTTCACAATTTTCTAAATAAAAGTGGCAGAATAAATTAAAATAAGCTAATAGCATGAATACATCTATAAAACCTTGTGTTGCTTGAAAGTTCCTTCAGCAGTAAGCCACTACTGTGGAGACCAGAAAAGGCAAAAGTCTAATGATATGTAAAAGTTCCTCTTAGTTATGAACAATATTTAAAAATCTCAATAATGAAATTGATTAAAAGCCTCCAGAACTTCAACAAAGCTATTCCATTTGCTGATATTTGCACATCACTGTAAAGCTGATTATTTCACTGCCATATGCTGTGGATAAATGGCAATGACAGTGACAGTAAAATTTGGTCATATAAAAAAAATTTCCACGTGAATCTTGAAAATATGATCTTTTACCAAGTATTTGCTACATTTTGAGGATGCTGCTGATTTCAAAGTTTGCTTCATAAACAGAATTTACTATCTAGGGCTCAAAACTGAATGGTGTCTCATACATTTAAATTTCAAGTTTTAAGTATGATGGAAAAAAATGCCACGCCAGGAAAAGATGTGACTAACTATAACATTATTCATTATTAGTATTAATTTGAAATATAAAGTTGTCAAGCTCTTCTGCAGTGTGCTGAGGCAAAAATGTGAAACTCAGACCCTCCAGAATTTCTTATCCCCTATGAGCA